TGGGTTGAAGGTTACTTTCAAATCAAATAGTCAATGTCTATTTGAGTCCTCCTATTTATGAAATAAAAAGCCAAACTTAAATTATCCACCTGCAGCAAACCAAAAATGCTGTCTCCTTCTGTGTGCCCTCATCCTTTTATCACATGGTGAAATACCGAACAAACATCCTTCTCCCAATGTAATAATGTTGCTGAAATTTTTATAAGAATCTTCTTAAAACAAGGAAGTAGATCTATATCTTCATTATGATTTAGCTGCAGCTCTTGTACAGTCACTAAAAACTGTTATTTTTAATCTTACATTATAAACTAGTAGGATTCCTTTCATATATTTTGAATAGGAGAACAGCTTCCTGCAGAGTCAAAGTCAGTGCTAAAGGGCTGCATGCATCAAACAGCAAACCCCATAAGTTCTTCAGCAGTAAAAGCAAATGAATCTACCCACGTACCATGAAATGTTCGATTTTCTTCAGAAACTTTTATTTTCTTTGATTTATCCGTGGTTGGGAGGGGGGGAGCTCAGTAAGTGGGTGCTAGGTCACAGATATAGGTGTGTTTAGTGACTGATTAGCAGATAAACAGTCAAGTTTTAACATTCTGATGAAGGAGATTACATTTGGACAAAGAGAATCTTTTCAGCAGCGTTTTGTGTAACATGAGAGCCTGCAGGAAACTTGTTCCACTCTTTCCAATAGCAGAGGAATGTAGCAATTTACTTAACCAGCTTTGTCACAGATCGGCGGCTGTGCCGGCACGTATTTTGAACAAAGGAGCTGCAGCAGAGGGATTCAAGAGCCATGTGCGGCTCCGGAGCCGCGGGTTGCTGACCCCTGGTCTGGGGCATTCACAAAGCTCTTCTCCAGCACCAATATGTATGTTTGCATACATATTGAACAGATAGGGAGATAAAATACAAACTCATCTGATGTCTTGCTTATAGGAAACCATTCTGTTTCTCCATATTTGGTAATCCTTGTCCACAATACATTAGGACAATTAAGTGTTGACTCACACCCATTTTTAGGACCATCCATAGATTCTGATGATCCACACAATCAAAGGTTTTGCTCTAATATATAATCAATCAAATAGCCAATGTATGTTTGCAATACGGCTTTATCTATTTCGTTTTTATACCACCCAAGAGCCAAAAGGCTCTGTTGAATGCCTTTTTCTTTTTAGAATCCAGTTTGAACATCAGGCATTTCTTGTAGGGTATAGGTTATTTATTTGCACTGCCAGACCAGAAGAATTATTAAACAGATTAAAAAAGCAATTAAAAAGTTAAAACACAGTTTAAAAAGTACAGTTTAGGTAATATTTTTGCTCAAGCAGGTGACTACATTTTTCCTAATCTGCATTGCAGTCATAAAAAATTTGCACCTTTTCCAGTAACAAAAGAATACATCCCTTAAACAGATACCAGGGTGGAAGAATTATTCCCATACAGATCAGTTATTAGTCATTTAATCAATTTCTCTCTGCATTCCCTATAAAAGCTGCAATTTAAGAGAACATGTTCCACTGTTTCTACTGTTCTGACACCACAATAACATACCCTTTCATTAACCATGGTCTTATTAAATTGTCCTTTTAATAGTGCTGCTGGTGGCACATTAAAATGGGCAAGAGTGAATGCTTTTCTATACTTTGGAATAGTTAGTATGTACAGATAGGATGCTGGGGTAAATCCATCATTATAGCAGTTATTGCAGTTAAGATGAAATAGCGAAGAACATTGCAGTTCTCAAATGTTGAAGCTCCAGGTCTGTTAATCTTTGAACAACGAGAAATTGGGGCTTCTCCAACCCATAATTGCCCAGCACTTCTGCAAAGTAACGTAGCCTTTGTAGTTTCTTGTCCATTTCCCTCATCTATCGGTTGACACACATATCTGAAAGTAGTTAAGACAGGTAGCTACCAGGAGCTGCTAGAAAATGGAAATATAGCTACCATTTAAAGGCTTCAATCCATGTCTTACATTCAACAGATAAATGGCTGTATTCCAAAAGCTTCCAAAGAAAAACAGACTGAACTTTTTCCCTTTGGAAATGAAATCCCAAAATCCAAATAGGGATGCCATAACAAGTTGAACCAAGGTCTTTGCTTTATAAATTTGTATTGCAGAGGGAATATGATGTCCACCTTGGGTAAAAAAGATTCTTAAAATCTACTGCTGATTGAAATTTGACAAATCAGTAATTTCACTAGGAGTGACATGTTGCCATTCTGGAGCATCAGAAGACAAACAAAGGCTGAGGAAGAAAAAGTATTAGATTCCTGAAGTGTTGCAAAAAAATATCTTTCCCACACTGTTAGAAATACAACAGGCAGGATATATATGTGGCTCTAATGAGGTTTTGTATTACAAATGGCCAAAATAATTTATCATCCTCCTTTTGTAAACCACATAGTAATATATTCCAGCTCTCTCTCTAGCTCTTTTGGGTTTTTTTAAACCCTTATATTATTGCTTCAATTTATAATATAGATATATCTCTGGTAAACATTTGTCTCACTTATCTCAATACGCAGAATAAACCTGCCTAATCTTGGTCTACACTCATTATCAAAGCAGCTTTTGTTTCTATACCCAACTGAGAGTCCTCTGTATAATACAAATTGATAATGTCTCATAATGACACAGCTTTTCAGTAGAGGCTAAGAGGTTACTGTGTTATTGCATAACAACAGGGGATGCTATGAATGAGTCAAATTTACTCTGCATACTTTTTGTCCACTTGACCCCTCTCACACATGGGAGCAAGGAAGAGTCTGGTAATGAACTGATGGGTAAATTGATCTTTAGGGGAGGTTCAGTTAATGTCAGTAATGGATACTGGCCAATGTTTGTAAGATTATCAACATAAAAAGCCTTAATAGCCCTCCTAAGTGACTGACAGACAAAAGATGAAGTCAACAACACTGCTCCCTAGCATTGAACTAAAGGTGAACTCACCTAGCAATATTGCCTGGAGCATTTCCATTAAAGATAACTTTATTATGTTAGCATGTTAAAACAGCTAAATGCACACTAGGAAAGTTTTGGATTACATCCTTAGAATGGCTGATATAAGGAGAGTTTCCTATCATATGGTTAATTCCTTGAAAATGTTAGGACTCCACTAATGAATTATCATCTAGGTCCAGCTGGGCGTTAAAGTTACCAGCTACAAGGACCTGTGCTGATGGAAACTGCCTTGGTAAGAGTGTAATATTGATCTAACTCTTCCCACTAAGCTTTAGTATCAGAAAGATATCTGGATGGAGGTACATAGATATTAAACAATAAAATTTGAAAGCATCTACTTTTAATTAGGGTTACCATAGCAACAGTTCCACATCTAGGAAGGTCAACTATTTCAGCATTAAGATAAGGCATAGCAAACCTGTTCTGGGCCTACCTTTTTTAAAGATTTAATGGCTGCTAAGAGGTAGCAATATATTCATCAAACATCACTTGATCACACACTCAGGTCTCCTGCAACAGAACAGTATGAAAGGATTTAATATAATTAAGAAATGATGTATCACTAATCCTCCCTTTTGAACCTGCTACAATTAGGTATTGGATTAAGCTGGGGTACAAGTCAGGTTCATAAACTCATGCACAGCTGCTTTATTCTTCTTTTCAAAAACTGGCTTAATATTATAGATTGTTTGGAAGCCATGAACCATAATTTTGAGATGTAACGGTAACCTGTGATTGATTGTAGTTTTCTGGCTTGTATCTCCATGAATGTGAAGGGAGAAGCAAAAAGGCCACATGCAGGATTCAGGTTCATATCTCAGTTTATTAAGCCAAGGTCTGATTATTTGAACACAAGCAAAATTATTTAATAGTTTAACCTGAAGGATAATGTAAATGATGTGACCTATACTTGTTTCCTAATTCTTTTTTATGATTGGTTTACAGTTTTTAGTTGTTAACACTGATATCTTTTTCTTCTTTTTTTAAATCTGTACTCTAGGTTATTGACTTAGGCTCTGGAAAAGGCTACCTGAGCTCCTTCTTGTCAATGCAGTATAATCTGAAGGTTTATGGAATTGATTCCTCAAACACAAACACCCATGGAGCTAATGAAAGGAACAGGAAATTGAAGAAACACTGGAAAGCCTATCAAAGACGGGCAAGAGCAAATGTCAGAGGCCATGTGTTGGAAGAGGCAAGGGAAAGGTCTGAGCAAGATAAAGAGAAAAGTAAAGCAAATATCAGTGAAAAGCTCTTAAGTACTAATAACAGTCTTCAAAGTCAGGCCCAGGTGGCTGCTCCAGATTCCATTCATTTTGAAACAGCTGATGTTTTCATAGACTCTGATATGTGTATTACTAACAAACAATATGAACTTCATTCTGGGGCTCAGCTGCAGCCTGATGAGAACAACATTCCTGAAAATGTATTTCTAAATATTCTGCCTGCTGACGCTGTAGAAGCTGACTGTTCACCCAGGAGTAATTGCAGGGAGCTTTGTGAAGAAGAGAGAGAACGAAGGAAGATGGCTTCTCTTAAAGCCAAAGCAAGCAGGTCAAAAGAAGCCAACGTATATTCTCCACTAACATCATATATCACTGCAGAAACAGAGCTACGTGACATTATTGCTGATCTGGAGGTTATTTTGTTTACTATCATAGTTCAGCTGCTTAGTCTGTTAGAATTTTTTTTTCTGGAGTGTGCATTAGGAATTCTTAAATCCAGACAGCAGCTGGGTAATGCTTCTGGTATTCATAATTATTGTTTCATAAAGTTTTTGACAGGAGAGCTTCCTTGCATAAATGGTATTTCTCCACTATCCATTTTCTTTGATGGTCTGTCCTGAATATGGTCTTTATAAAAGAGCATTCCTTGAACTTCAGAAACATATTTTGATGAACAATATCCTTTCTTTAAATTTCTATTTTTTTCTCAATTCCCCTAAATTATCTTGTTTTTAAAATGTTTAGATGTTACATAGCAGTACAGATGCTTTTCATTAAATATATTCTGCATTAATAATTATAGCAGCTTCAGTGAACAGGGTAATGTAAGCCCAAACAGGCTCTTTACAGAAGCTTATAATATAAATGCATAAATGCAAACAGGTATGAGAAGGAGATGAAAGGGAGGAGAGGAGGGGAGGCAAGGATTAGGGACATGAATGAACATGTACTTTGCATTAGCTTACCATTCATTTTTGAATTTATAAATTGAAATTTAAATAAAGATCCATTGTAGAAAAATAGAAAATTTTAGAAAATGCACTTGATAAAAATGTTGCAGATTACAGAGCAGCTTTAGGTGTTTGATTCAGAAATGTCATCATTGAATTTCCCAAACATATTACAAGAAGAATATGTTGGCAAGCCTTCCTCACAACACAGCATTTGATTTCATTTATTTGTTCCAGGTTCTTGTAAATTGGTCAATATTTGGAAAGTTGCACACAGAATAAACAAATTAGCATTTAATTAATGACATTTGGACAGAATCCAACTAGTTTTCCTATGCTGATGTCTGATGTACTATCAGAAGAACTAGAAAGGAGGCAATTTTCAGTGATTCAGCCCCTGAAATCTGTTCCATAGAGTCACCCAGCTCCTGCAAATCTCTCTGAGCAAAATGCAAGTTAAAATTGGAAATTTGGGGTTTTGAGAGCGCTTATGTATAGAGAAAGAAACTTGTTTTAATATTTTCAAGAGTGTATTATTTACAATTTAAATTATATTCAATAGTTCAGGTTGACAGCAGCCCTGCTCAGAATTTTAATTTGCTGGAGGTTAACTTTGCAAAGTCATGCTGGTCCAAGTCTTGACCCCACCCCTTCCCCAACTGTTCTGTGGGTTTGTTTGCAAACCCTTTCTCCTACATGTCTAGTGCCCCCTGTACCTTCTTTCCATCGTTCCTTCAATTAATGCCAAAATTTCTTATTTTTCCATTCTTCCCCAGAGGCAATATGGTGGGACAATGCAAATATGTCTCTGCATCTCATGGAGCTAAAATTTGCTTAGGGTCCATTACTTCCTTATCCCCAGTGCAAAGTTGCAACACTTAGAAATGATTCACATTTGTCATCCCCTCACTCACTATTGTGTACCTGGTTTTCTTGGTATTCATGGGACAGTCGCACAGAGTACAGCCTGAGTGGTTATTAAATTGGTGGTGGTGGTTATGTTGTGGGTTTTTAGATGCAGACTCTGCAGCATGGTTTAACTATGTGTTCTTAAACATAATCCAGAATTCACAACTTAAAAACAAACCACAGTTTCTCTGCCTATGTCCTTTGTTGTCAACAGCTAATAGCTAAATCATATTGCAGGTTTGCAAGTTATGACAACAGATGATTCAATGCCAACCTATATTCTTGGGTGGTCATTATCTGCAAATCTTCTGTGTCATTCCCCCTCAATCACTTCTGAACTCTGCTTTTTGTTTCTGTCCTAGGACTGTGTAATCGTGGGTTTACATACATGTGGTGATCTTTCTCCAAGCACCCTGCGACTTTTTAATGCTAAACCTGAAATCAAGGCGGTTTGCAGTGTGGGCTGCTGCTACCATCTGCTGTCAGAGGAGCATGAAACTCAGGAAGGTACAACAACCTTAATTTTTAAAAAATGTCTTTTGTTCCTTTCCTTTACTATTATTTTGGGCTGTATGTGTCTTCTGTGGAAGACTTGCTATGAAATGCACTCTGACTGTTCCTACTCTCCTCAACATTTGTACGGACCATACACTTAAGAACACTGAATGTTTTAATGTGATATAAAAGCATCTGTAGCAAAGTACTACCTCTATAAAAATGTACTTCACAGTAGCTTTCTTATAAAGTTCATATCAGATTTTGCTCTTGGTAAGGTACATAGCAACATCATATTAATCCATCATTTCTTTTAAAAGTAGCAACCCCAGGTCAGGGTGAACGTTAGATTATGATTGAAAATGTGAATATTGCTTTAGCACCATACAGAACCAACCATTATAAATGCATGCTTAGAGGTTTAAGACTTATAGATAAGAGCGGATATGATTGATAGCTAAATTGTAGATCAGCACAAACAGTGCTCATGTATAATAGGAGAGCAAATGATTTTAGGAGGTTTCATTCTAGGAAATGTTTGTATCTTACAGTTTAAAGCAGCTTTCTTTTTTGCTTAAAAATGATCTGAAATAGGAAAAAAATCTTTCATGTTTATTAAAAAAAAAATTGTGACAGCCAAAAAAACTCCTTTTCATATCTGTTGCTTTGCTTTCAGATATACTGTAGAGAATTATAAATGTAAATTCTAAATGGGCAGTTCTGTTAGTCTCTTTTTTTAAAACAGTGGAAGAAGAAAAGTTAGATTTTAAATGCACGGGCATGGAAATGGAATATTGAAAGTCACCTTGGCCGTGATCCAACGAAGCATGGCATATCCAATGAAGCCCATTGATCTCAGTCATCTTAAACATGCTTAACTTTTTGTTAAACTGAGTTCCTGGTTTGGAAATGGTCGATTCTGTTGACATCTTAAGAGGGTATAAATTCCTTTGTAGTAATGTATAGTAGAGAACATGAGTTTTTGGAATCTTATTCTTGGAGTGATAAATGAATCTTCTTGTGTTTCCCATAGTATCTATCTAAAAACAACTGTTTTTGATACCATAATAACTTGTGAAATTCTCCAAACAAAAATTCAAAGCACTTGATTTCATTTTCATACCATCTCTAAATATTGCTGTACAAGACATGTTTGCAGTGCTTGAATCAATTTGTGAGATAATTGACACATGACTGCAAAAGACATAACAGATGTTTTTAACCAAAATGGTGCTGAAATATTTTAAAATCTTGACATTATTCAATTTAACTGACATTGCTGGGGTTTCTAACAGTCTTTCCTACAAAGTGACCAACTCAAAATAGGGAGGGTTTTTGTTTTTTGTTTTTTTGTTTTTTGAAAGAAGAGTACAGGAGAAATTCAAAAATCTGGTTCTAATCTGTGTTTGTATGCATTTTTTTCTTTGAAGAACAGAGAAAACCAAAAGTTTTCTTTCACAGAATAAATGAAACCCAGAGTTTCTTTCATACTCTGAAAAAATATGTACAATGATCTAGATTCATTTGTGTGCTTTAATGGGTAATTGGAAATATCTTATCCATACTCCCCTTCTTCACTCTATTTAGTGATTTATTACAAGAGCTTGAGTTACAAATAGATAAGTTAATATTGCTGATAATTGTATTTATAAATATGATTCATTGTAAGCAACTATATGTATAATAATGGCTGAGTCATTAATTTACTTCACACATGGGTATGCTTGGATATATTGTTCCAAAAAGCTTCAGAGAATCAAAAACTAGAACAGTGAAATACACATATAGGAGATTATCCAGTGCTGTCACAACTAGTAAAATTATTTTATTAATTACTGTGTTTGGGAATCTTTAGCTTAGAAAAAGGCTGAGCAAGGGGAGGCACATGATAGAGGGTTAATAGAATATGCATGATGTGAAAAAGCTGAATAAGGAGTCATTTTCTCCCTCTCTTATAAGACGAGAACCCAAAGGTCAGTGGAAAATTTAGGACAGATAAAAAGATTGCTTTGCACAATACATAAAGAGACTAGACAAATTTAGGAAGGATGAGACTTTCAGTGGTTACTAGACATGATAGATATATATTACCTCTAGTGTCTGAGACGGTCTATATCAGGGGTGGCCAAACCAAGGCTCACAAGCTGCCTGTGGCTCTTTGAGTTTATTTTGTGGCTCACAGAGGGGCCGGAAAAGCCTGGCACAACTTCTAATCTGAGCAGCTGAGCCAGTTCAAACAAAAGCAGGGAATGAGGCACCAGTCTTCTGCTGTGATAACCAATTGTGGTGCTTCAGGCATGTGACTTCAACTCTGAGCCCCCAACCAATCAAGGCTCAACCAGCACTAGAGCCAGTGAGCACAGAAACCCTCCAGGGATGACGCACAAATCTCCTGCTGTGATAACCAATCACAGCAGCGCTTCAGTCATCTCACTTCTACTCTGAGCCTTAAACAGCAGCCCAGTCAACATCTAACAGCTAATTTGTACAACCTTGACAACATATCAGCTGAATTTACAATGATGGAGCTAAGATGGAGACTTATGAGATCTCTACTAGCAGTAACTGGTCTGATAATTGTAGCAATACCTGTTAGGCCATAATAAAAAAATAAATATTCCTGTCTTGTGGTTCTCAAACGTCTGACATTTTCTGTTGAGCAAGCCATAGTCACCCCTGGTCTATGCCTTCATAACAGTTCCTGGGGAACATAAGCGGAAAGATGCAGTTGTACTCAGTCCCTACTAACAGGCTTCCCATGGCTACTTCGGAAACAGAATAGTAGGGTGAAGGCTGGCCTTTTTCCTGTTTGGCTTTTGGAAATGTGCCCTAATTTTCACTGGTGGTATAAGGAAAGATGACAATGATGAAGTACTTGAGTCCACATTGGAAGGGGGAAAGAGAGACTCAAGCAGGGGACAAGAAATTAATACTGGCTACAAGTTTATGACACACAAGCAAAAGTGTTACAGATAGAACCAAGGCTCAGTAGCGTTCACTGTGGGTACTGGAATAGAATATTGCTAGGGAGGCAAGTATTCTGCATGATAGCCCTTGCTTTTATCTGGTCACTTGGAAGCATTTGCATTTGAAGGGCAAGTGTAGCTGTATAAAGCAGAGGTGCTCATCCTCCCTGTGAAGTTTCTAGGTGTTGGCATAAATACGGGGTCCAAGTGCTTTCCCAAGTGCTTTCCCATGAAAGACGTTGAAAGCTAAGTTCCAATCCCAGTAAAAAAAAACCTCACAGTCAATTGAAATAAATGAAAGTGAGGAATATGCTTCATAATTTTGCTATTTTAGTTTACTCCTGCTGCATCTAGTGGTGAATTATTCAGAGAAAGGCCACATTTGGGGGCCACAGACACATTTGATAATTTGAGGAACCTTCCTGGACACAACCACAAATTGACTTCCATTTGAAGGTGGAAAAGGATAAGAAATCTGCCCAAAAAGTCTGCTTCTGCAAAGTAAGAGTTTGGTCTGAGTCCCAACACATTAAACAACCTGTTCAAACCTAGTTTTCAGCTTTAACAGAAACCTCTTTCAGAGCAGTCAGGTCTGCAGATAAGAAAATATTCTGTCTCTCCCTCCCTCCCTCCCTTGGTGCGTGTGTGTGTGTGTGTAGATGCCGCAGTGGCTGCCAAGTAAGGTGTTGGGTTGCATGTTGCCACCTGTAGGCACTAAATTGTCCCTAAAGCAGGTTACATCCACGATAGTGCAGAATATGTGGAATGCCCAACAAAGGTAACTCCTGTTGCCTTACTCAGTTTTCTGATGTCTTTATGGAACATGCAGGGTGTATTCACTGTGCAATTTATAAGGTCACTGTCTCATGACTTCATCTAATACTTGGTAACCTGACAATAAGAAGTCACCTTTTCTGTCTGAATACTTAATTATGATTAATTGCCTATGATTGGTATGCAGGATCTTATAATAGACCTGTCAGATAACTTTTTAAGTTTTTTATATATGAAAGATTTGGTGTCCTTCAAGCATAACATCAAAAATCTGTTTCCATTTTTAAACCCTGTGATCACATTTCTGTACTTCTAAAGCTACTTATTTTATATAAGGCCTTCTCAGTGGTTGCGCCCCACCTTTGGAATAGGTTTCCCAGAGAGGTGTGCCTGGCACCATCACCATTATATTCCCACCCTAGGCAAAGGCATCCCTCTTCTCTGGCTATTTTAATAATTTATTTTAGCACTAACTTGATTTTAATTGACCCATTTTTGGTTTTTAGTTGGTTTTAGTTTAAATTGTTTTATTGTAATATTTTTATGTAAAATGTTAATTTTTATGTATTCCTGAATATGTTGATTTTAGAATTTTGGTTGATTTTAGAATGTTGTGCTGTTTTGATTCTTGTAAGCCACACACATAACCCAGGTATGGGCCTTGTAGCAGTGCACAAATTGAAATAATAAATATATTATTTTTTTTTTTTTAGAGTAAATGATTATTTGGCTTTCACATTAAGGTTTTACATGTTTCTCCACATTGCAGAAAATGTTGCTAAAAAGTGATAGGTTGTAGTCAGTGGTGTGCAATAAACTGTAAACTGAAGTATTTTAAAAATAGAACAAACTAATTGGTGTGCTTTAGGTGGGGGCTTATCATAACCTTTTATACTGTGTTGGTTTGGTCTTGATTGGGGTTTTGGGAGGCAGGCAGTATTTCATGAATGGTACCAGAAAGATAAATAATATCCATACTTCAGATGTGAGTTAGTTCCCTAAGGTATACAATGGCTTTCTCGACCCACTCTCAGAAGTTCAAATAGCTCCAGAAATTAGTTGGTGTAGCTGGTATTTTAAACTTTATTTATTAAGCAATCTCTTGCATTTGAGGACTTGGTAATGGAACACAATTGAGCCATACTTAGGTTCTGTGATAATTTGGCTGTTAAATATTTGCTTTTTTAAAAAGAAAGGTGGTAGATGATCAGGTATACTGGATTTTTTGTGTTATCTAGGGTTGGTATTGTCTGCATATGAGGAAGTAACTAT